CCTTAAAAGGTTGACTTTTCGAATACGAACAAAAGTGATATCAAGCCCATATAGCAACAAAGCCAGAGATAGAGCATATAGAGTCAAATGTACCTTAGTGTATTTCTCTATGTAGACTAAGGAGTTATAAGTGTAACTTAGGAACGTGTACCTTAGGGAGTGTAACAAGTTTATGTATCCTCTCCGTGAGAGTAAACCACACTCAATCGTTGCAAAAACTAAGGATGCAAACCTTAGTGAGTGTATCAACCCGTGTATCCTCTCTATGAGAGTAACCTAATCACTCAAACCAAACTTGCTTAGTTGATATTTGTAAAGTCTGAAGAGGCTAGGGGAAGAATACATGTAAAGTCTGGAGAGGCATGTCAAAGAATACTTACTGCGAGCTAGAAGTGACTGAGTAAAGAATATTAGCGTTGATGAGTGAAGTCAACGGGTCAGGAGTTAGTTGATAATACTCACTGAGAGCCAGAAGTGGCTGAGCAAAGAATACTAGCGTCAGCAAGTGAGGTTGACAAACCAGGAGTGGTTGAGAATACTCTAGCAACCAGAAGTGGTTTAAGAATACTAGTGTCTGCGAGTGAAGCTGATGAGCCAGAAGTGGTTGAGAATACTTGAGACCAGGAGTGGTCGTGACCTGGGTGGTCTATAATACTCACTGCGAGCCTGAAGAAGCGGAACAAACAATACTTATACTTAATTGATTATCTAGTGAAACCCTTCATTTGAAGGAGACTGGATGTAGCTCAGTTTGAGTGAACCAGTGTAAAAATACTTGCAATATTTTTATGTTTCAGTCACACTTTTATTTGATTGATTTAATATACTGAAAACTTCATCTAACGCTTATCGTCTATTAAAACTATCTTCAAACAAAATCCATACTTGTTCAACTGATTATCCTAAAAGAACGGTTTTCGTTTAAGAAGTATTTTCTCTAGGCAGACGATGAAACTCCCAGACGCAAAATGATTGTTATACCAATCCTGGGTAGTTTCTGTTCAGCATCCACTGATATTATTTTACTGGACGAAAGAGAGTCTGTTTGCGAAAAAGTTTTTAAAATTCCTTTGTTCACACACACACATATTCAACCCCTCATTCTATGTGTTTCTCATCTAACTTCAATGTTCATTTATTTGATGTCTGTCAAACTTTCAAAGAAAATTAATTCTTATATGTGATAAAAAAAATACTCCTTAATAATGAATCAATTTTTTTAAAAAAGTTTAATTATAATATATATATATATATATATATATATATATATATATATATATTAATAATTCTCACATATATAATGTAATATATTAAAAAATTATTTTTTGATAAAATAAAATTTACAGCATACATGTTTCCCTTATATACGTTGATTTAAAAAAAATCAAAATAGAAAATATTGAAAGATTTATGTTCTATTTAAAATTTTTATTATAAAATATATTTTAAAATAAATTTTTGTCTAAAACTTCATATTAGATATTAAAAACATGTTTATATCATAAATAATTTGAATTTGAATTTTATAAAATTTAACATATTTATTTTTATATTTTTATTAGTGTTAAATTATTATAAAATATGTCTTTAAGATTGTAGTTATAACCAAACATTTAAAAAATGTTTTTGACAGATAAATAAGTCATACTTAGAATATGTATTTCTAAAAAAGGTTGGGTCCAAATCTACTAATTATAATATAATTTAGTCTGACATAGTTTATTTTCATCTTTAATTGTAATCGTAGATATAAAAGTTTGTAAAAAAATAATTATAATATATATTTATACTTCTAAAAGTTATATGTAAAATTTTTAATACTACAAATATATTAATAAGTGTTACCCACTATCTATAATTTTTGGATCTGTGGCTGTATACATGTATATGTACATGCACAAGTATATATGTATGTCTCAGGCATGAAATAACCTTTTAAAAAAATAATTATTTGATTTTTTAATTTATTTATTTTCATAAAATTAATAAAAAAATTAGACAATTAAATCAAACTAAAATAAATCAAATAAGCATTTTTTAAAGCTATTATGGGAAATGAAATCCTCATCGTGTGATGTCAAAACAAAATGAAATTATGGTAAAACAATTTTCAAATTTTTTTAACTATTATTTGTAACAAAAACTTAAAAAGGTATTTTAACGTAAAAAAAAAGAGAAATATATACCTTTTATTTACTACAACTTTATAATTTTTATAAAAAAAACAATCCATTATTTTTCAAGAGTAATTTTACTAGAGTTTTATTTAAGGATTTACAAAACATTTCATAATAAACATACGATTAAGAACATAACTTATAATAATATATTAAAGTATACAAATGTTTGGACCATTTTATTTTTATCCACTCTCTTCCATTATTATTATTTTTTTTTCTCTATCTCTGTTTTTTATTTAAGTTCTATTTTATTTTATTACTTCTTGTAAATCTTTAATTAATCCCTCATTTCATTATTTTTTGGTTTTTTAAATAATTAGTATTTTATTTTATTTTATTATATACAACTAAAACTTAAAATAAGTCGTATATAAACAAATATTATATTTAAAATTAGAATAAATAGATATTTTTAAATACAAATTATATTTTAAATTTATCATAAATAATTCACATTATAAAATAAGATTATTTTTATTTATTGATAATTTATTTTTAAGATATTAAAATTTAATTAATAAATAATGATAATAAATAAATAAATAACTAAATTAGATATTGAGTTAAAAAAATCTCTAAAAAAAATTTCTCAAATAAAAAAATTCTTAAAAATACTTTTGCACAAGATAATCATTTGTTTAGATA